ACTTTCCCATGTCATCCTCAACACAGGCCCGTCTTCCCCAGGGTCACCCCCCTCCATAACCATTCCTGTATCTTTGGAGCTTCTCTGGGTGAGTGAAATCCAGCTGAGGACTAACAAGTGATTTAGAAAGTGCCAGCATAATTTTTTTCTTTTTTCAGCACCTTGTGTTGTTCTTAAAAGAACAGGGAAGGACTTGCATCCCTATAGCTCCTGGCACAACCTCTGGACATCCGAAAGCAATTTCCAGCCAATGTTGCTATGTATACAATAATGAGTGTTTTTCCAATTTGGGGTTTCTCTGTTTCCTCCCCACTCCTTGTGACAGCAGACCTTTCAGCTGCATCCTGCAGAGAGAGAGAGAGAGAGAGAGAGAGGGGGATGGACGGGGGTGCACTGTGTGACACCAGTCAATGTACAGCTATCTCCCTGAGGGGGAGAGAGGGGACTGAGAGACAGTAGTCAGTGTATAGACATCTCCCAGAGGGAGGGAGGGAGGTGCAGGGGTTCTGAGAGACTCCAGTCAGTGTACAGATATCTCCCTGAGAGACACCAACCTTTGTCTCTATTCAAAGCTTTTTAATGATTGGTTTAAGTGTGTATGAAGTACTGTTGAAAGGTGTCTTGAAGTACTTAATAGCCTGTAAAGGACTTTCTGAAGTGTGTTGTAATGCAGGAAATGCAGCTGCAGATTAGTTTGCAGTAAGCTCTGCGATACTGAGCAGACCGCCTGAATTGGTGAGGTTAGTTGGTTTGGAGAGTGGGGTGAAGTCCCTAGGGCAGACTGTTCCTTGGTTCGATACTTTGTCTGAAATGTTATGCCTCTGACAGTGCAGCACTCATTTGGTGCTACACAGAGAGAGGCTTCCTCGGAGGACTTGAGGCCCAGTGAGCAGTGAGCTACCCTCAGTCTGGGTCACAGTTGTCACTGACTTCTCTCCTGCCTTGTGTCTTGGTCTTGCCCAAGGCCCATGTTAGAAATGGGAATCGAAAAGGCTGGTACTTGGTATCCCTGGCTCCAAGCCCCTTTTCATCTCTCTTTCAAACAGGGTGTTAGCCCTAATTATCTCGCATCCTCATATGGGGGCACTGCAGTCTGAATCTTTACTTGCAGGCTGGCAGACAGATGGGAGCTCAGGAATGTAGTTTGGGAAAACTGTCGGGATTATCGAATGATGCATCACAGAATGAGTCCATTCAGCCCTTTGTGTCTGTGCTGGTTCTTTGAAGGCCCGAACTAATTAGTCCAATGTCTGTTAGCTAGATGACTAGTTCTTTTTTATTCATTCACCAGATATGAGCATCGCTGGGCATTTATTGCCCATCCCTAATTGCCCAGAGGGCAATTAAAGAGTGAACCACGTTGCTGTGGGTCTGGAGTGACATGTAATCCAGACCAGGTAAGGGTGGCAATTTCCTTCCCTAAAAGGCATTAGTGAACCAGATGGGTTTTTCCATTAATCAGCAATGGAGTCATGATTGTCATTAGACTCTTTAATTCTAGATTTTTTTATTGAATTCAAATTCCACCATCTGCCATTATGGGATTTGAATCCAGGTCCCAGAACATTACCTGGATCTCTGGATTAACAGTCCAGCGATAATGACACTAGGCCATCGCCTCCCCAACTCTAATGCAGAGTGATACCAACAGTATGGGTTCAATTCTCACACCGACTGAAGTTACCATGGAGGACTCTCCTCAATCTCTCCTCTTGCCTGACATGATGACACTCTGGCTAAGCTACCATCAGTCACAGAGTCATACAGCACAAAATAGGCCCTTTAGCCAAACTCATTCATGCCAACCAGGTTTCCCAAACTGAACTAGTCCCATTTACCTACATTTGGCCCAGATCCTTCTAAACCTTTCCTATTCACGTATCTGTCTAAATATCTTTTAAATCTTGTAACTGTACCTGCATCTACCACTTCCGCTGGCAGCTCGTACTGTACACACACCACCCTCTGTGCGAGAAAGTTGCTCCTCAGATCCCTTTTAAATATTTCCCCTCTCACCTTAAAACTATGCCCTCTAGTTTTGGACTCCCTTACCCTGGGGAAAAGACCTTGGCTATTCACCTTATCTGTGCCTGCCATGATTTTAACAACCTCTATGAAGTTACTCCTCAGCCTCCTATTCTCCAAGCTAAATAGTCCCAATCTATTCAGCCTCTCCTTATAACTCAAACTTTCCAGTCTCGGCAACATCCTCGTAAATCTTTTCTGCACCCTTTCCAGGTTAACAATACCCTTCCTATAGCAGGGCGACCAGAATTGTACACCATACTCCAAATGTGACTTGACCAATGTCCTGTACAGGCATAACATGACATCCCAACTTTTATACTCGATGCACTGACCAATGAAGGCAAGTATGCCAAATGCCTACTTCACCACCCTGTCTACCTGTGGTGCCACTCATTTCTGCCTAATGAGAGCAGCTGTGGTCTGGTAAGACTATGGTGACATTACCTCACTCCATTGCCCTGTGTATCGTCTTCCTGCAAGTCATTGTTCAATTCCCTTTTGAAAGTTCCTGGTGAATCACCCTGAACCATCCTTTCAGGCAGCGTATTCCAGCCACCAATAATTCACTGTAAATACAGGGTCCTCTCTCTCTGCCCACCTCCCCAGCTGCTCTGGCTGTTTTGCCAATCCCTTCAATTACCCACCTTCCTGCCACAGGAAACACCTTCTGTTTATTTACTGCCGTTAAAGCACTTGTAATCTTCTCAACCTCCCAACAATCTCCTTTTAACTTTAAATGCAAACTACTGTGGATGCTGGAAATCTGAAGTAAACACAAAGTGCTAGAGAAACTCAGCAGGTCTGACAGTATTTGCTGAGAGAGAAAGTGTGTCAAATATGACACTTCTTCAAATACTTTGTTCTCCTTTGATCAGAGAAGGTTAGAGTTAGTCATACAGCACAGAAACAGACCCATCAGTCCAAACAGTCCATGCCAAATATAATCCCAAACCAAACTTGTCCCACCTACCTGCTCCTGGCCCATATTCCTCAAAACCTTTCCTATTCATGTACCTATCCAAATGTCTTTTAAATGTTGTAACTGTATCCATCACCTCCTCAGGAAGTTCATTCTACATGCGAACCACCCTCTGTATAAAAAGAAATTGCCCCTCATGTCGTCTTTTAAATCTCTCCTCTCACCCTCAAAATGTGGCCCTAGTATTGAAACTCCCCATCCTAGGGAATAGATACCAACCATTCACATTATCTATACCCGTCATGATTTTATAAACCTCTATAAGGTCACCCCTCAACTTCCCACACTCCAGTGGGGAAAAAAAAAGTCCCAGCCTATCCAGCCTTTCTTTATAATTCAAACCTTTCATACCCAGCAACTTCCTGGTAAATCTCTTCTGAATCCTCTCCAGCTTGATAATATCCAAAATTCCAAAACATTTTCAGATTCTCCACATCATTACAGCAAATTAAATTCTCCCCTCCATTTGATCTGACTGTTTTGACACCATCACCTTGATAACTTATGATCTCTACCTTAATTAGTACAGTTTTGTATTACTGTATAGTCTTGGATTACTTGTTACTTTGGTTAGACCCTCGGCATGCAACTCTAATACCCCTCATGTTATTCTAGTCGTTTGGTTTTTCTTCACCATCTTATTAACTTTTTAGAAATGATCTCTCTGCCTCAGTTAATCAGATTATAGGTCATCACTTCGCTTGTTATTCAGCTGTTGATACTTGACTCTCACTGTCTGACACTTTCGATCATCTGGAGAGACTTATTATTCAACCTGTCAACACTTCACCCATGCCATTCATATGATCTTTTCTTCTCTGCTATAAATTCTGTGCCTATGTGCCTGTCTGCACTTCATCTGATGAGGGGGCAGCACCATGAAAGCTTGCGATTTCAAATAAACCTGTTGGACTATAACCTGGTGCCTTGTGACTGCTGACCTTGTCCACCCCAGTCCGACACCGGCACCTCGAGATTAAGGCATTTGCAAAGGCAGCCAAACCCCTGAAGCGGTTCAAGGTGGCTCACCATCACCTACTTAAGACTTTCAATAAATGCTGACCCCAGGCAGTGATGCCCACATCCCGTGAGTGAATATAAAAAAGGTGGCACAAGAATATGGCGCTACCAGTGAACACTCTGTTGCCCCTCACCATTAGAAGCAGCATTGTGAGTAATTTTCAAAAAGGAACTGGGAGGGAGCCCATTGGAAAGGAGTCACAGTTTATGGTGTAGACTATTTAGGACTAAGATGAGGAGAAATGTCTTTGTGCAGAGAGTGGGGAGCCTTGGAATTCAGTGTCACAGACAGCAGTTCATAGAATCTCCACAGTGTGGAAGCAGGCTACTTGGCCCAACAATTCCACACTGACCCTCCAAAAAGCATCCCACCCTGACCCCCACCACCCCTCCCCCCCCCCCCACCCCCCACCCTATCTCTGTGTAATCCTGCTTTCCCCATAGCTAACCCACCTAAACCTGCTATTTCCCATGGCCAATCCACCTTAACCTGCAAATGTTTGGGCTGTGGGAGGAAACCGGAGCACCTGGAGGAAACCCACACAGACACGGGGAGAACGTGCAAACTCCACACAGACAGTCGCCCGAGGGTGGGATTGAGCCTGAGTCCCTGGTGTTGAGACAGAAGTGCTAACCACTGAGCCACCTTACCAGCCCAGTTGATGGCAAAACATTGAATGTTTTCAAGAGGGAGTTATAGTTCTATGGGCTAAAGGGATCACAGGATATGGGGAGAACACAGGACAGGGGACAGAGTTGGATGATGAGCCATGATCATAGTCAATGACAGAATAGGCTCAAAGGGTTGAGTAGCCTACTCCTATATTTCTAGAAGTGTAGAGTGAATTGAAAGTTCTTTCAAAGATCCAGCAGAGCTCAATGGGCTGAGTGGCCTGCGTGCGCTCTGACTGATTGTGCGGAGTCCGGTTGGGAACACAGTTTGAAAGGTGTTAGGGTCTGGTCTCTGTTGCAGGTTACTGAATGAGAACGACAAGCGGCCGTTTGTGGAGGAGGCGGAGAGGCTACGGTCGCAGCATAAGAAGGACCATCCTGACTACAAATACCAGCCGCGTCGGCGCAAGAACATGAAGCCAGGCCAGGCAGAGTCTGAGGGTCACACTGACGATGGCCACCTCTCCGCTGGGCAGCCTCACTACAAGGCTGTGCCTCAGGACCGTGGGCGTGGTGCGGGAGCTTCCCCGCTCTCGGAGGGGCACGGAGAGCACACAGGTGAGCTCATGCGGGGTTTAAACCCTACTACACACCCCCTTCGCCCCTCTCCCTCCCAATCCACCACCAGGGCCATACTCTGACCTCCCACTCTCAAATTCCTCAGACATTCACAACTAAGATGAGTTTGCCTGTTCTCGGAGATTGGAGAAGGTGGGCTTCATGAGGATTTGGGGAATGTGGGACAGTGAAGTTCATCTTTTGAGGCTTTACTGCCCATGCACCAGTAACCTGACCAGCTCTGTAATCCTACCCCAGCACTGTCAGAGAATCATACAGTCTTGCAGCACAGAAAAAGACCCTTCAATCCAACCAGTCCATGCTGACCACTAAACTAAACTGTCCCACCTTCCTGCTCCTGGCCCATATCCCTCCAAACATTTCTTATTCATGTACTTATCTAAATGTCTTTTAAATATTGTCACTATACCCATCTCTACCACTTCATCTGACATTTCTTTCCACACATGAACCACTCTCTAGGCAAAAAAATTGCTCCTCATGCCTTTTTTTAAATCTTTCTGCCCTCACCTCAAAATATGCCCTATAGTCTTGAAATCCCCACCCTAAGGAAAAGACACCTGCCATTCACTTATCTATATCCCTCATGATTTTATAAGTCTCTATAACGTCACCCCTTTACCTCCTATGCTTCAGTGAAAAAATGTCCCAGTCCATCCAGCCTCTCCTTAGAACTCAAACCTCCCATACCCGGCAACATCCTGGTAAACCCATCTAGTTCACTAATGTCCTTTAGGGAAGGAAACTGCCAGCCTTGCCTGGTCTGGCCTACGTGTGACTCCAGATCCACAGCAACATGGTTGACTCTTAACTGCCCTCTGGGCAATTAGGGATGGGCAATAAATGCTGGCCTGGCCAGCAATGCCCTCATCCCATGAATGAATAAAGGAGAAAAAAAATCCTGGTAAATCTTTGCTGAACCCTCTCCAGTATAATAACACCCTTCCTGTAACAGGGCAACCAGAATTGCGCACAGTATTCCACAAGAGGCCTCAACAATATCCTCAACATGACATTCCAACTCCTATACTCAAAGGTCTGAGCCAGCTGGGCCATTCTTCACCCCATGCCCATCTGTACTGCCAGCTGATCCAGCCTTCACTCTCCTCCCTCCAGGTCTCATGGTCCTGAGGCCATTCCCTCCTCCCCCTGCAAAGTAACCCTCCATGCCAGTACTCTCAGGGGCAAGATGGAAGGAGGCACTGACCCCTTGTACCTGACCAAGCGCCCCCAGAGCTGTTGCTAACCCTGCAGTGTGAGGGCACCGACAATGCTGTTGGGGGAAGGAGTTCCAGGATTGTGTCCTAGTGATGGAATGGAGATATATTTCCACATCCAGATGGAGTGTGCCAAGGCAGGGAATTTTGAGTGTCTCATATCAGTACTTTCTAAACTTTCCTACAATCACCATGAATCTTCATTGCCTCTTGCCTGTGGCTCCAATATCCCTTGTATAACACGTTGGTCCAAGCTGGGGTCAGTCAAGCTGGGATTGTGAGCTAATCCTTGGCATTGACTCACCATTTCCCTGTGTATGTATTCTGTGTTTGGATATAGTGAGAACCCCAGCTCTTATTTCAACAAGCTGTATCTGTGCTTCTGTGATTTGTACCCGACCCCCTCTGGTCCCCCAGTCCAGTGAAACACAACCATGTGTTTCTGTCCTTTGGGAGGCCTGGATAGAGTGGACGTGAGATGATGTTTCCACTTCCAAGAGAGACTAGGACCCAAGGGCAAAGCCTCAGGGTGAAGGGACGACCCTTTAGAACTGAGATGAGGAGGAATTTCTTCAGCCAGAGGGTAGTGTTTCTGTGGAACTCCTTACCACAGAGGGCTGTGGAGGCCAAGTCATTGAGTGTCTTTTGAACAGAGATAAGTTCTTGATTACAGTCATAGAGATGTACAGCACAGAAACAGACCCTTGGGTCCAACTCATCTGCTCCAACCAGATATCCTAAATCAATCTAGTCCCATTTGGCCCATATCCCTCTAAACTCTTCCTATTCTTGTTACCTATCCAGATGCCTTTTAAGTGTTGTAAATAGTAAAGGGATCAAGGGTTGTGGGGAGAAGGCAGGAGAATGGGGTTGAGAAATATATCAGTCATGACAGAACAGCGAAGCAGACTCGATGGGCCAGATGGCCTAATTCTGCTTCTATGTCTTATGGGTTTTTCAATCCTATAGAAATACTTATGGCGGCTTTACTCTGAAATTGCCCATTCTGCGTTGAAGGTGGCACATCAACATGGTGCCACTGAAACTGCACTGGCCACATATTTGCCCACCCTGCTGCCTCTAAACCCCCAACCCGAAGTTTTGATGAAGGTGAGAACCCTCTGTTCCGATGTCTGACCGTTCTTTCGTCTGTTTTTCTTTCCCCACCGGCCCTTCCCGTTTTTACCCCTCGTGTTTAGGCCAGAACCACGGGCCCCCGACACCTCCCACCACCCCGAAGACGGAGATCCAGCCGGGGAAAGCGGAGGGCAAGCGAGATGGGCGCCCGCTGGTGGAAGGGGGTAAACCGCACATCGACTTTGGCAATATGGACATCGGGGAGCTGAGTCACGATGTCATCTCCAACATGGAAACCTTTGACGTCCATGAGTTTGACCAGTACCTGCCCCCCAATGGGCACCCAGGTCATGGCCAAAGCCTGGCAGGAGGGGCGTATGTTGGGAATTACGGGCTAGGGGGCAGTTCCTGGATTGCCAAGCAGCACGGTGGAGCTGGTACCCCCTGTTCCTCGGCATCCGAGTCCAAAGCTCAAATCAAGACGGAGCAAGTTCACCCGAGTCACTACACAGAGCTACAGCACTCCTCGGCCCAGATAACATACACCTCACTGAGCCTCCCACACTATGGCTCTGCTTTCCCCACCATCACCAGGTCCCAGTTTGACTACCCTGAGCACCAACCTTCCGGATCCTACTACAACCCCTCTAGCCAGGCATCCGGACTCTACACCGCCTTCTCCTACATGGGCCCATCTCAGCGGCCACTCTACCCGTCTATCAGCGACCCGTCCTCGGTGCCTCAGTCTCGCAGCCCCACTCACTGGGAGCAGCCGATCTACACAACGCTCACTCGACCATAGGATCTCTCCCTCTGTCTCTCTCTCTGAACCTACTGTGCCCTCACACACACACAGACACACACACACACCCACACATCAACCCCCACGCAGCAGCCCCCATCCCCTCTCCCTACACACCGCACCATCATCCCCCAACCTCCCCACACCGCCAAGTCCCAAAGCCCCACATCCCACCCCTCACCCATCAAGGACCCAGTGGGACTTGCTTGGTTTTGTTTGAGAAAGAAATAGAAAAACAATCTCTGGCCATTGTGGAGCCTGAGTGTTCCCATGTGTCAGGGTGGGAAAGCACTGATGGTATGGAAGCTTCTCACCTTCAGACTCTGGCCTGGACTGAGGAGGGGAGCTGCTGAGGTTCCAGACTTAAAGCTGCACCAAACCATCTGAGACACAACGCTAAAGCAGAGTGGGTCGCTGAGAGGCGAAAGGTTCTCCAGTCAATCTCGCTGGGTCCTGAAATGCCAGGGATTCTGTGACCCAACAAGTGACCATTTTATAGTTGAGAACTGGAGTTACTCAACACATTGTAAACTCTGACATCATTCACGTGGGCCTTTGACTGAGATCTACTCTCTCAGAAACCATTCTGAAGAAGCAGAACTGTAAAAGACTGTCAATTTAAAATGAGCGGGATTCTAGTTCGAAAGTAACGTGAGCCTGTGACTGCCAGTGTCCTCTTCTTCGTGTCATAATTGTTAAAAGTGGCTTATCTTCAGTCGCCAGTAACATTTTCTTTATTTTGTTTTAACTTGCCTAGCCCTGTTAGGCTGTGGTTAGCTTTAGCCAGGGCTAACCTTTTGGAGCTGTTGCTAACATTCTAGGTGCGACCAGATAGCTACACAATAAAATGTGGAGGGAGGGTTGGAGTGGGGAGTCAGTGGAGGGGCTTGGTGGTAGAGGAGGAAACAGGAGAGAAGGACAGAAAAGCTTGCATTTCTGTAGTGCCTTTCATGGGCTTCCCGTAGCCCTCCACAGCCTTTTCTCAAAGTGTCACCGCTGCTGTAAACGTAGAAGCTTGGCAGTCAATTTGTGCACAGAAGATCCCAAGAAACAGCCACTGACCCCAGATGGTCTGTTTTCTTTCTCATAAGCGTTATTTGAAGGACGAGTGGCTGGTCCCAGGAGCACTGGGGAAAAGTTTCCCTCCCTGCTCGTTTTGAAATGGTGGTCACTGGGAAAAGAAAGATTGATGAAGAAGTGGGAAGTTTCAGGGGTTTTTTTTTTCTGGTTTCTAAGAGATCCCCTTTGTGTTTTAATTTTATGTTTGCTCTGTGCCAAACTCCTGCATGCACCAAAATGGGGTTTGTTATAGGAGTCGGTGGGGATCTGATTCCTCAGTCAATCCATTAGCTGGATTCTTGCCAGCAATTACTTGTCAACAAAGAGATGACTTTTAAACCCTTCTCAAATATTTAACAGAAATGTACAATGAGTTACTGCTCATGTCGAGTAGCTTCACCTCTCTAAGGGTTAGCCCTTTTACCCCCAACGTTAGGCCCAGGTCAGAGTTGCTAACCCTCCCGGATTGTCCTGGGAAATGTTGATGGAACTCCCTCTGTCAGACAAACTGGCTGCTAAAAAGGAAAATGATTATTATTTCAGCAAAGATTGGAGATGGGCCATTAGCGGGAGCCTGGGGAGGAGGTGACAAACCTGACCATTGAGAAGTAGCCATTCAAAGTAATGAGCACACTGTTTGCTTTCTGATTGGCTGACAGCAGGTAGGGCACCATGGGGTTGGAGACCCAACTGAAGGAGACAGTCTGGGCACCTGGAGGATGAGGTGATGATGTCTCTAGGGAAGTGTTGAGGGACCCTAGTGGCCTAATGGATTGGGCCTCAGGCTGTAGGCCTGTTTCGCTCCTGAGTTAGGCCTGAAGCAGGCAGAGACAAGATCTCAAACTCAACTTCTGTCACCATTCCAAAACAGCAATGACCACAGTCTCAGATGTAGGAGACTGAATAATGCATTGAGTGGACATCCTTAGAGCACTTCTTAATTTATTCAACCCTCACTTCTTGTATCTGCATATACCAGTGGGGCTGTGATGTGACTGGATCAATCACCCTGAGGTCTATGTTAAAGACAAGGAATTAAAATCATACTATGGCAGAATTTGAAGGAAAAAGCTCAGATTTGTAAAGGTGACTGTGAATCTATTTAATTTTCAGGAAAATCGATCCCTTCGGCAACTTTGACCTCATTTACTCCATCAAAACCCCTCACGCCTCAACTTTAACCCTGTGTGTCCAAGGAGAACAATCCAGCTTCTTCACTCACTCCATGTAATAGGAGTCCTTCATCCTACAGTAGAGTAGTGATGAATCAGGCCAGTCTAGGCCCTTGTTAGTGAGCTTTAGGTGTGAGCAGA